AAAGGACAAATGCAGTATCCAATTTACCTGTACAAAGATATTGCCATCTGCATAAAGAAGCATTTCACTCATTAACGTGTATGCACAGAAAAATATATTAGAAACATGAAACAATGGACCGCTGATAGAACGGTCCAAAAACTTACAGCATCATTTAAGACAGATTCCCCGAAGACCAAAGCATAAAGGTTCATATCAGTGCCAAGTTCCTACAATTAAGATCATCACACATTGATCACGTAGCTCATATGTTTACTGCTTAAACACTAGTTTTATAAATCCCCAAGAGGTAAAAGAGGCAAGAGAACTTTGATTTCTCAAAACCACTATACCGACAACTTGATATTTTGTTAAATTAATGAAAGTTCAATTAAGTGGAAGAACCAGTAGCAGAAAGTAACAGCAAAAACTCTTTGAAGACACACTTGCAGAAGATAGTTAAAATTGACATACATATTGATATTTACAAAAATTAAGAAGCTAATGAATGGAAAAGCAAAAGAACTAAGGGGATAATATTATATGGTGGCTAAATCAGAAATTCAGAAGTCTGTGATGCATTTTAATGTCATTATTAGGCATATTAATAGATGTGTTAATGGGGAAGCGGATTGTTTAGCTAAATCAGGTATAGGTTAGGGAGTGCTGAGCTACTGGTGTGGGAGATTGGGGTAGATGGGCTGTTCGGTTGAAGGTTTGGTCTATTGTACTAAAAGGTTTATTTGGTTTGGTTGTAATCTTATGTTTGGTAATAAAATTTTGGGCACCCTTTTCCCCTTTCCATAATTACTGTGTTTCAAAACACAAAAATTATAAAGGGGTTTTTTAATGGGGCCATTACTTACTTATCAAAAAAAATATTATATGGTGGCTTTTCTTATAAGTAATTAAGCATGGGATACTGACTAAGAAAGTTACTCGGCTATTACATTATTACTGAGGTTCTATTTGGTTTTTGCTTTTGGAAGCACCCTCCCCCGCCCAAAAAAAAACTAAGACAAAAGAAAATAGTAATATTTGTTAATAAATGAAAACTAAATTTTCTTTCTCTATTCATTTTTTTTCTTTTTGGAAGAAAAAAGCAAACGGCAAAATGCAAGAAGCAAAAGCGGCAATTGCCTGGAATCTAAATTAAATTAAATAATTTTCCCAATGCAAAACTAAGTGGTATAGTGATAAATCAATTAAGAAAAAATACATGTTAAGTCACATCACAAAAGAAACAAAGTTAAATGGGTTAATGTTACTATTGTTTCGCTCATGTAAATGATTACTATACAATAGCTTCTCACTGGTTTGCAGTATTTGGTCTTGGAGATGTATGGCCTAACTATTAGTATATTAATGATTTTGTTTAGCCTTAAGTCCTTAACCCTTCAACAACAGAAAGCGAAGATGGAAGAAAATAAAACCTGAAATATGGAAAGAACAGTAACAGGGTCGGTTGCGGATATAAGAGCACCAAACATTAGGCATTCAACAAAAGGAAGTCTGTACATGAGGTACATCAGACCACCAAGATAGCTGTAACATAAGAGGGTTAACAAGTAATGAGAAAAAGAAAATTCTTGAATCACAGAAAAAAAACTGAATTTTGTAATGAAGAAATACTCACACTAAAACTCCAGTAACAACTGAAGCTATAAAAGTTCCTAGAATAGCAAAAGTGACAATGGCTCCAAAGTTAGAGAAAAAGGGCTTCTGCCAAAACAAGAGAAAACGATATGAGAATTACAGGAAAGACCAATAACAAGGCTTGTAAACAGTAGCTGATTCAGAAATTTAAGAATTGGGGTCCAAAATTTTAATTTTCTTTTCTTAGAAATAATGGGTATGTAATTTTTTTTATTTTTTATTTCCCCCTTAATATATTAAATTAAATTTAACCATTTTCCTAAAATAAGGGATCCACTTGGCCCCTATGGGGGGCTTAGTGCATCAGCCCCTGCTTGTAAACATAATGTTATCTGTAATAGGAGAGTTAATACTACTTACAGGTGATAAGCTGAACCCTGACTGAGTGGCGAAAAGAGTAAGTCAAGAAGAAACAGTTTGATACCAGGGGAAGCATCTACGTTGAAAAAGTAGGAAGCAAACCAACAATTATCTAAACAAATGCAAAGGATATAAGATGATTGGAGGTAGCAGAAACAGGAAGAAAAACTCCTCATGGAAATTGAACCACGTCCTGCACAGGTTATAGAACACCAAAAACGAAATCAGGGTTTTCCCAATTTGATCAAACTGAAAAACTGAGAAAGACATAATAACAATGAGAACCACAACAGAGGGAAAGGAAATGGAAGACCTGATGCTTGTTTCAGTGTCGGAGATGTTAGCAAGTCCACCAACAATCAAACCTGACAGAAAATATACATATCGTTTTTTCTGACCTAATGAAATTCGAGAGACGAGTTTAAAAAAACGATAATCAGGCAAAAATTGACTAACCAATAAGCAAAGAAGCGCTGGCTTCAGGGAGATAGTAGAATTTGTGACGGCGAAGAACATGGCCGACGACGAAAGAGAGAACAAGCATCATAATTTGAAGCAGAATCCCAACTCCGGCGGCCTGCTGCTCTTGTCCGGGGATCCCTTTCTCCGCCGTCGAATTCTCCATCTTTACAATTTTGAGAAAACAAAGACGCTTCACGAGGATCAAACGATCAAGGAACACCTGCGATAACGGCCTCGGCGACGGTGAATTTTTCCGATGACGCCTATTACCGTGGACTTCTACTATTATTTCGTCTTTTTCTGCTTAGGTTAAGTAAATTTTAATTAATAAACTTCAGTTTTAATAAGAAGAGACGTGACACTCGATACCACTTCTTCTTCCCCTTTTACTTTTCACTACCCTTCTACTTTTTTCAGTCTCTACTATTTATTCCATTCCGTAGTTAATTATTCATTTTTTTTAATTTTAAATCCAAGAGCTACACAGATGTTACAACAATTGCACGAATCAAGTGATTTCGATGTTAAAAAATTAAAGTTTGTTTAAGTTCGACATTAACAAGATGAGTATGATATGATGGTCGTTTGAGATTCTGAGATCAAGTTTTATTATATAACAATCAACGTATTAACATTTAACTTTGAATATCATCCATTTTTAATTGCAAAGGACGAGTTTGGAACGTAATAAATAATTGAATGACCATTTTGTAACTTTTAATAATCAAGAGATTCAATAAAACAACACTCTATAGTCAGATGATCATTTTGTAACTTTTAATAGTCGAAAAATTAAATAAAATAGTACCCTATAATCGAGAGATCATTTGTGTACTTTATCCAATTTTATTTTACTATTATGAATCAATAAGATTTTAAATTATTTTTATATTTTAAAATATTAGAATGATATTAACTAGGGGTGTGCAAAATCGGATATCCGATTCGATCCGAAAATTCGGATATCTAAACATTTCGGATACCTAAAATAGTGCTCCGTATTCAATTCGAAAAAAATCGAATATTCGAAATTCAGGTATCCGATTTTTTCGGATCAGATATTCAGATATTTGAATCTGAATATAAAAATTTAATTTGACAAAATTAATGGTAAACAAACTTGTTCAGCTCTTCTGAAGTTAAATACACCGTCTTCCCATCATTGGTTTCTGGACAATTGGCTTTAATCTCCAAAATCTTGGTTTCGTCGCGCGGATGCATAGCAACGAGCCAGAGAAAACATGTGAGGCCGATAGTTGTAGTGTCCTTTCCTACTGTTAAGAGATCGAATGTGAAGTCTCTTAGGAACTTGTCTGATTTTTCTTCCATCATAAAAGCTGTCAAGGCATTGAACCGATCATCAGCCATGGCCTTGGATCTTCTTATCTCATCTCGTCTGGATGAAATGTGTGTAGGAAAAATCATCCACGATCTCCAACCCTCTTCTCATCTTTTTCTCTGTACTAATTTGAAGCCATTTCTGCAATTTCCATATCATTTGAGGCACAACAGTCCTAAGAGCCAAAGCGTCATTTATGTCCCAATGCCTCTTTGATTTCAACAACCGGCAATTGGGGGGATAGAGTCTTGGGGTGGAACCCTAATCCCATCAAGCACATGTAGTCATAGTTAAACCTAGGAAGCATATCTTCGAGGTCTACTTCAGTTCCAAGTCTCTGAAAATGGTCAAGGACCGGGACAAGGCTTCCCTCGAGCACTTGTTGGAGAATCCGGTCCATGTACGCTGCAGATTTATTTTTGTACTTTAAGAATGACAGAAATAACTTCCTTAGCCTCTTCCATACATGTGAATCTGAAGTGTTCATTCCCTCATAGAGCTCCAGGATTTGCTTGAGCTCCAGGCCCGTCATGTACTTTTCATGGTTTTTTCACAAAATGTGGTTGATGTTCTTAGGATGGGCAGTGACAATGAAGTCCGAGCTCGAGAACCAGGGTCCCTGGAACTTGAACGCCGCCGTTGGACTTAAGCATATCGGTGAAGAAATCGAGCATTCGATCGGCATTGGAAGCCAGGGCAGGCAACATCCCTACAACAAGCCAAATACTGACAGTGGAGTTTCTATTTCTATACCAATGACCAACAAATAGAAAACAGACAATCAAGACAACTGCTACAAGCATGTCGGCCGCCATGATTGTTTTATCTTCTTTCTCAAACAAGTTTTTCTGATGTTCCATGGCTTATCCAAGCTGCCCCTTTTATACAAAAACCAAAAGGGTCCCATGAAACAATTTGTTTTCTAAGCTCAGGATATTGTATGGAACAAAAGGGTTCGGTGAAACAATTTGGTTTCTAACCTCAGTGTTCACCCCTGGTGCTCAAACTTGGGACCTTTAGAAATAGCAACGATTCTTTTATTATTTAGGTCACTTGGTTCTTTTTGATTATTTTTTTTAATATTCGGTTAACCATTAATTCGATTCAAAATCGGTTAATTAACCGAAACACGTGAGTTGAAACTTGCCTAGCTAACAATAAGCTCATCATTCACCATCTTATTGAAGCATAATCATATTATTGATTACTGAGGACTGCCTATCTTTCTTTTGTTGATTCTGACCTTCAAACCATGTTGAGTGGTGAGTGCAAGGACTTTGTTGGTCATTGCAACCTTTTGGTCCTCGACAACCCTAACCTCGTAATGTCGAAGGACATTGATGGCCACTGTATTAATCATTTTCAGACTCAATTCCTTGCCTAAACTAGCCCTCTGTCCAACCCCAAATGGCAGATAGGGATGCCGGTCTGGGGACGAACTCTCCCACCTCTGAGATCCACCATTCTGGTCTGGGGATGCCCAGAAACTCTCATTGGCTTCTCAAATCTTACATTATTTAAATATGAGATTTTCAATTGTTTAATATGGCCCTATTTATTGAGTAATTAAACATAAGGTTAATACATGTGTGTTGTCATCGCTGCCCAACTCGTTCTAGTGTGTTGTCATCGCGTAGCTTATTCTTTTTAGATAAAATTCATATATATTTTTTTCATATTTTTGGCACATTTTTCCTCTTTCTTCCATTTTAACCCAAACTTCGTCCATACTACAGCCACGTAGGCAAAAGAGATGTCTTACAGAACACAAAGATGCTTTCTATGTAACGTGCTTTTGCGGTTTTGCCTTACGTAACAAAGATAACTGCATATATTGTATGTATTTTCAATAATTCTATATTATTATAAAATTTCTTAAGTTTAAAAATAATTGTAGGTATTGTTAGGAAGCTCTTTAATTAAAAGTTTATTAATGTGATAATTTTTTGTCACGTGTCACGTCAACAAAAAATAACATCAATAGGGTAAGGTATTAAACCGATAGAAAATTAAACTTCTAAGCATGAAATCGAAAAAATTTCAGAGAAAAGGTACAACACTAAAATAAATCCTTAAGTACAAGGGAAATCATGCCATTATCCCAAACATAAATGAATGAATAATTTTTGGGTAAATTATGCATTTAGTACTTAAACTATCAATTTTGGTCCGTTTTAGTACTTAAACTTTCAAAAAATTCAAAACCATACCTAAAGTTTAGTTTTTGTTTCATTTTAGTAGTCTACCATTAAAAACTTTAGTTTTTGTTTCATTTTAGTACTCATGTTCAAAATTTAACGTTAAGCTTTGAAAAGGTTGAAAGTTAGGTTACTAAAACGGACCAAAACTGATAGTTTAGTACTAAGCACGTTAAATTTTTAGAGGCATGGTACTAAAATGAAATGAAAACTAAACATTAGGTATGGTTTTGAAAAAATTGAAAGTTTATGTACTAAAATGGACCAAAATTGATGGTTTAGGTGCTAAATGCATAGTTTACCCTAATTTTTTTAAATAGTCTGAAACAATTACAAAATAATATTTATTCAGAAGTTTTTGAACCTATTGATATGGTATGTACACATTTTGTATGATAAATAACTAACGTTTACGTAATTTTTTATTTATATTAATTAATCAATAAATTAAATTTTGATAATTAAAACGAAAAGACATGACTAGGTTGCAACTATATGATGGAAACAGATAACGACCAGTCTTCAAACTACACCTCAATATTCGTTGTCAACTAACGTTGCTTATAATAATCATTTTAGAAACAATATAACAAGGCATGGGTTGTTGGATTTATTTTTGGTAATAATATTTTATTTAGTCTATAATATGCTTCAATTATTTTTAATAATTCTTTTACTTGAACTAAACGATTTTAATGATTAATAATTTCTTTTAATTATTTTTAATATTTTTTATATCAATTAATTTGTATCATCGTACATTTTTTTATTGTAACGTAGAAATCGTCTCATCAATATTATCATTAAAAAATCAAAATGTATCAAAGCTTCCGAATTTGACTTAAGGAAGGGGGACGCATCAATTTAAAAAAAAAATTCAGAGTCACGATTTTTTAGCTACGTTGTTAGTTAAAAGTCAGATTTTTAGATGATTTTTTAACGATTTTGAGTAGATTTCATGAAAAAACAATCCAAAAAGAAGAAATAAGAGTGAAATGCGAACCTTTTGAAATCGATCTTGTTTCGGACGACGAATAAAGATGGGTGATGCACAAACTATTGGAACCAAAACGTATTATTGAAACATAAACGTATTATTGAAAACCACGAACCTTTCCAATTCCGTTGGAAGATTTATATTATTTTCGGAGTCTTTTATTGATTCTTACCTTCAAACCATGTTGAGTGGTGAGTGCAAGGACTTTGTTGGTCATTGCTACCTTCTGGTCCTCGACAACCTTAACCTCGTAATGTCGAAGAACATTGATGGCCACTGTGTTCATCATTTTCAGACTCAATTCTTTGCCTAAACAAGCTCTCTGTCTGACCCCAAATGGCAGATACATGGATGCAGGCTTGGGGACGAAATCTCCCACCTCTGAGATCCACCTTTCTGGTCTGAATTCCATGCAGTCCTCACCCCATATCTCTTCACTTCTTCCCATCGAGTACAATGAGATCAAGATCCTCGTGTTGGGACCGATACGATCCCCGCTCGGAAGAACGTCTGGTGCGATCGATGATCTGAAGTCCAACGGCACTGACGGATACAGTCTTAGTGTCTCGCAGAATGCAGCACGCAGGTAAACGAACTTATTCAGCTCTTCTGGAGTGAAATACACCACCTTCCCATCGTTGCTTTCTGGACAATTGGCTTTGATCTCTTCCAAAATCTGGGTTTCAACCCACGGATGAGTTGAAACGAGCCACAGAAAACATGTGAGGCCGGCAGTTGTGGAGTCCTTTCCCACTGTTAAGAAATCGTATACAACGTCTCTTAGGAACTTGTCTGATTTTCCCATCTCACTTACATATGATGCTTCTTCTTCCACCATGAAAGCTGTCAAGGCATCGAACCGATCATCAGCCATGGCCTTGGATCTTCTCAACTCATCTCGTATTGACGAAATGTGTTTGTAGGAAAAATCATCCACCATCTTCAACCCTCTGTTCAGCTTTTTCTCCTTTCCAATTTGAAGCCATTTCTGCAATTTCCATATCATTTGAGGCACAACCCTCCTATGAACCAAGGCCTCATCTATGTGTCCCAATGCCTCTGTGATTTCAACAACCGGTAATTCGGCGGATAGAGTCTTGGGGTTGAACCCGAATCCCAACAGGCACATGTAGTCATAGTTGAACCGACCTAGCACATCTTCGAGGTTTACTTCAGTTCCAAGTGTCTGAAAATGGTCGAGGACCGGGAAGAGACTTCCCTTGAGCACTTGCAGGAGAATTCGGTCCATGTAGGCTGCAGATTTCTTGTTGTACTTGAAGAATGACATCAATACCTTCTTTTGTCTCTTCCATACATCTGAATCCGAAATGATTATTCCTTCATAGGGCTCCAGGATTTGCCTGAGCTCAGGGCCTTTCACGTAGTTTACATGGTTCTTGCAGAAAACGTTGTTGATGTTCATGGGATGGGCTGTAAGAACGAAGTCGGAGCTTGCAAACCAGGGTCCTATAATCTTGAACGTGCCGCCGTTGGACTTAAGCATATCGGTGAAGAAAATCGAGCATTCGATCGGCATTGGAAGCCAGTGCAGGCAACATCCCTACAACAGGCCAAATCCTGACAGTGGAGTTTCTGTTTCTATACCAATGACCAACAAACAGAACAGAGACAATCAAGACAAGTGCTGCAAACATGTCGACAACCATAATTGTTTGATCCTTTTTTCTTTCTCAAACAAGTTTCTAGTTTGTTTGTTATGGTCCTGATGTTCCATGGCTTATCCAAATTGCTCCTTTTATACAAAAGCCGAAAGGGTCTCCATGAATCAATTTCACATTGAAGTCCTTATGAATCCAACAACCCATGCCTTGTTATATTGTTTCTAAAATAATGATTTATGTCCAATTTATCAATACTACTCTAATAATTGTAGTCTTACATAACAATATTTAAATGAAAAATATTTAATCTAGGACCTAAAGTTTTATTTCATTTATCAATATAATATTTGATCTTAACGATGTTAATTTTTAACGATACGATGACAGTAATAAAAAAGTATATATATTTTTTCAATAAGTTGTTATCATATATCACGTCAACAACAAAAATAATATAGCTCAAGTATCGAACTGATAGACAAAATTAAACTTTTAAGCATGAAATTAAAAAATTTCAAAGAAAAGGTACCACACTAAAATAAATCCTCAAGTGCAAGGGAAATCATGCCATTATCCCAAAATGAATGAATGAATGAATAAATGTATATATGTTGCATGGAATTGATTAATTATAATAAAAAATTTAATGCATAGCATGCCTAAATTTATAAATCCCTATTGTGGAAGATTCTTACCATAATGATGTAATGGGGTCCCACGGAATAAACAAATGTACACATGTGTTTCATTTATGTCTATTACTTTGACCGTTGAATCAAACATGAGTTAGTTGGTTGGTTGGATGGATCAGTTAGTGTTTTATTATTTCCGTACATCTTAAAAATTAGTACAAAATTGATTCAATCAATAATAGTGTGCAAGAAAAAGGTTTTTTTTTTGTTATTAAAATCATTTTTATAATCGTAGATATTTAGACGTTTATATTCTTTTTAATTACGAGTTTTAATCTATTGACAATATATACATAGACATTTTTCGTCTTCTTTATTGATCGTTTGACCGTTCTTTTTATTTTTTATGATTACTCAGGGTTAGATTTGACGACGCTACGACTGATGAATATAGCGTTTATTTGTGATCCTATTAATCTCTCATACTATAGACCCTCAGATTGAATTTGGATACAAATGATTTTGCCTTCGTCGATAGTTTCTCACGGTTCTCGTCTCTGATTTGCAGTTCTTGGAGGTCATTTAATAATTTAGTCCCCTTTTGTAGTTCGTTTGTCAGTGCAGTCGGATTTGTTCGTATCTAATTTTTGTTCGAGTCTTTTAGTTGGATTTTTAACTTTTTTCACATATGATCCTTGTATGATCTAAAGTGACTAATTTTAATGTAATAGGAAAATATTTAAATTATGTATTTAATTTACAATGATAGTTATAAACGCTTATTGTAATTTTGGATATTTCACTTTTTTAATATAACTAGGGCTTCTATTAAAAAAAACTATTCAAACTTTTAACTTCCTTTAGTCTTTTAACTTTACTCTTCTAAAAAGATAAATATTATCTTTTACCATTAAAACTATTCAATAAATTCATTTATTAATATTATAAAAAAACTTTTAATATAATAAAAGGGTATGGATAGGAATAATTATCAATTTAGCGGGATGAGATATTACGACCTTAAATAAGGTCAACAATTCAAATTCACAATAAAAATGAGAAAAAAATTAAAATAAGAAGATTGTTCTCGTAATAAATTTATATAATTTTTATTTATATTAATTAGTCAATAAATTAAATTTTGATAATTAAAACGAAAAGATATGACATGACTAGGTTGTAATAATTATATGATAGAAACAGATAACGACCAGTCTTCAAACTACACCTCAATACTCGTTGCTAGCTAACGTTGCTTATAATAATAATTTTAGAAACAAAATAATAAGGCAAGGGTTGTTGGATTTATTTATAGAAATAATAATTGATTTAGTCTATAACTTGCTTTAATTACTTTTAATAATTTTTTCTTTAATCAATCGATCTCAATGGTTCAAAGATTTTATTGTTATCATTTAAAGTTTTGAGTTCAAACACTACATATACAATAAATATTGACATTGACTGTCGAATGATTGAAAGGAATCTTTTTAAAGAAATGTTATTTCGTACTTATCACAAATTTATAGAAAAAATAAAATAATTTTAATTTTGATGTCAAATAACACTATTTTTTTTGCTCGGCAAAGAATATTTTATTGATAATTATTGACCTAGATCAAGAGTCTCATTAAAAATCTCTCTAATCCTAAATAAAATAAAAGAGTACTCACGACCAGGAAAACGACACACAAGAAAATCTGCGAACACAACAAAACACCCAAGAAGAAAATTACCACCACCTCAGTCACTTCACGAAACACCCAAAAAGAGAATGCAAACACAACGGGTTTGTCAACACACATTTTCGTCCTATTAGGATTCAAACTCTTAAAAATATGATAGAATTTTGTTAGGATTCAAACTCCTAAAAATAGGATAGAGTTCTACTATGATTTAAACTCCTAAAGATAGGATCCACAAGCACTATAAATAGCCATTGTAACTCACTATTGTAACACACGATTTACAGACAAAATACAGAGGAAAGCACGAAAGATACAAAGACAAAGATATTGTAAACGATTCGAAAAGAAAATAAAAGTTAGCATTTTTTTCCTTTCTTTCGCATGTACACGTTATTTTTCTTGAAATTTGGTTCGAATAACCCAAAACGTGGGTTGCGCCGATGACCAAAATGGGTGGGGTTTCGAAGTTTCGAACCTAGATCTACCCCGAGGCGTGTTCATTTTTTTTATCCCCCTAATGCGAAATATCAACGTTAATTGTCTTTCAAATTTGGCCCCAATCTTTATTTTTCTTTATATTAGTCCTTTTATTTATTGTATAGATATTTTTATTAATTTATTATTTACATTATTGTCATTATATAAATATATATATACGTTTTTTTTCTAAATAATTTTCAATTGATTTTTTTACACTATATATTATTATTATACATGCATATATTTTTTATTTATTTATATTCATTTGATTATTTTTAATACTATATTTATTATTTATATATATATATATATATATATATATACTTTTTTTAAAATATTTTACTTATAAGCGTATTATTACTATATATATATATATTGTAATTATCTTTATTTGGTTTTTTTATTACTTTATCATTATATGTATACTTTTATATTTGGTTTATATATTTATTTATTTTTATTTTTTATTTTTTATATTATATTATATTTTCATATTACTATCATTATTGTTATGATTATTATTTTTCTATTTTACTCATATATATATATATATATATATTAATATTTCATTTATTTATTTATTTATTTTTCCTTTTATTTTATTTTTTTATACTTATTTTTATTCTTCATTTTTTTTATTTATTCATTTTTTTCCTCTAACACATCTTATGACTTTTTAAGGGTATTTTCGTCAATTAATCAGAGGTAAGTAATTCATGATCAAATTTTACCTTTTAATTTAAAATTACAATTTTCTTAATTAAGACAACTGGAAATTACGTAGTACCGAAAGGGCGGTTCAAGGGTGCTAATCCTTCCTTGACCGTAACCGACTCCCGAGCCCGACATATTTCTGGTAAGACGCAGATCAGGTAAGAAATAGGGTATCCGATCAACCCATTTGTTTTAAATAAATAATCGATGGCGACTCCAATCCACATTTTTCAAGTCGAAGCCCAATTCCGTGGCCCAACCCCAAAACCTCGTTTTAAAACCTCTCGAGTTTAACTTAGTCCACACAAGCCTGTGATGGGTTTAGGACTAAGGGTCTGGCAAGCCCAAGGGGGCACCGGCAAGGAGAACTCGAGTACTTTTTTTTAGAACCTAAACCCGAAGACTACAAGGAGTTAGGGCCCACCCCAAAACCTCGTTTTAAACCCTAGGATACCGAAATTATTTTCTGCTTTACTTTCTGTTCAAAACATGTGAACTAGAAATTTATGCGGTTAGGACTTGTTCAAAATCAACTTGCGGGATAGAGATCATGTCCGGGTAGGAATAATAAGCATGTGGGGTAGATATCATGTGGGGTAAGACTTTTATTTTCATGATTGCTTTGATTATTATCTTTACCTTACTAACTCTTTTCATTTTTTTCCTCTCTTTTATTTTATTTCCATCATCTGCATCATAAAAGAGGTCATTGATCCACTAAAACGTGTTTGTTAAAACTCGAATAATCTGAATCCATGGACAAAAGTGTTGTAATACAAGAGATTAAAAACTCCGAGGTACGACTATGGTCCGAGAAGACTCAGAAGGAAAATGGAGACAGTCTTCGAGGAAGCTATGTGTCAGAGCTGGTTAGCTACGCCTCTATCAGCCTAAAACAGAACAATGTGCAAGAACTTCGAGACATCTGGGGCAGTTGGAAGAATGATCAGAAACAGAAGTTCAGCCAACGGTACGGTGACATTGCACTTTTGCTTCATGTTAAGACCGATGAGCCCTTAATCAGAGTCTTGGTTCAATTCTGGAACCCGGGATACAGTTGCTTCACTTTTAATCAGGAGGACATGGTACCCCCCATTGAAGAGTACACTACACTATTGCAATGTGAAAGCATTAAACTGGAGCGAGCCTACATCAAACACATCAAGAGTCAGCCTCTCAAGAACGAACTGGTTAAGATTGCAGGAGTTGATGAAAAGCGGGTGACTGACCGACTCCGAAACAAAGGTAACGGGCAAGGAATTGAGTGGATCCACATAAGGAAACTAATGAAGGACCACCCTGATGAATGGAAGACCATAGACCTTTTTGCACTAGGTCTGTATGTCTTGATCATCTTTCCGAAAGGTTTTGGGATGCATTGACGCAACCGTGGTGGAATTG